AAAAAAAAGTAGAAAAGCTCGAAGAAACTGAAATGGGATTGGCAGTGCACATGTGATATTTTTTAAAGTTTGTAGTGTAATAAAAAATAAGTCTCTCCGCATCAAAATGAGCTATGCACAGATGTAGTAAGATTTGGAAAAGGGTGAGGATGAAAGCTACAAAATATACTTGTTTGCAAGGAACTATTCTAAAGAACACACAAATTCTTGAAGAGACAGTAAAGATAGAAACCTAAAGTTGGTAACATAGAGATCAGAAAGGAGCCACCTCCGAGATAACAACTATTCGCTAATAGTGACACTTCACCGGAAAATGATAGGTCTCCACGGGTACCTTACTCAGAAGTACGGTGAGCTACGAATGGGAAAGAATGGCTGTAATTCAAGATGAATAAGAAAAGATAAATGAGAAATTATCACTCTTCTTCAAACTTATTGGACACAAACTTACAGAATCTCCACCTAGCGTTTTCGACACAGGGTTTCTTTGACGCAGTTGCCGCAACGATGCAGATTTACTTGGAGCCAACGCAGCCAATTGTTGTCCAGACTCATTTATCAACATAACTTCCTACACGTCAACTATTATTAATCTCACTTTAGACCCACGTACTTTGATACCTGATTAGCTTGCAGATCACCATTGGATGGTCTCGCTTTGGACGAAAATCGACGGAACCCAGTTTTCTTCGGCTTAGATGGAGGGATATCATCTGGCAGAGATATGAGCGAATAGGAAGAATCGGTTGGCATTAGGGCAGCATCATTCAGTAATCTTAACTCGCGCATTACACGTTTGTGTTATCTTTTGAACTCTAGCAATCTCACTTTTCCCTCATATTTTGCAAATGTTCAATCAACTCGTTCAGCATTATCGGCTCCACAACTTTCCACTCCTCAAACTTCATATTGAAAATTGTTCTAAACTTCAAAGAATGAGACCGCTTATGCAGCTGGAACAAACCACAACTCACGTGTACGACTTAATGAATTCAGATTGTTGAGAGCTATTGGCTTGCTTGACTTCGTTAGATGGTAAGGACTCTTCACTCTCGGTAGAGGCAAATGATAGCTATAAAAATGGTGAGGCTGACCGAGGAAACTCAGACAATCATTTCAAAGATAGTGAAGTCCATAATATTTAAGACTACCAAGTGGT